TTAAAATTCGTTTCATGCTACATCTCAACAATTCAGTGCCAAACTGTTCTCAGTCTTTGCACGTTTTCTGCACTTCTTTCCGAACCTATTTAATGCATTTGGAAACAAATCACGGAAACGACATTACAGGGTCTTTAACATTCACTTTCAGCGTCAAGCCAAACTGCGGCTATTTAAGCAAAAATATGTGCGATATGTCCTCACGTAGTCAACGTGGACACGCGACTAGAACCGGCACGTTTCTTGAAGGTGAATTAAAAAGAGTTTGGTGGTTTTCCATCTGGGCACCTTCACTCAATTCCCCTTGGGAGGTGAGCATGTATATTCATAAGCGGTGGGCAGGAGAGGAGAGGTGTGTGTGTGTGTGTGTGTGTGTGTGTGTGTGTGTGTGTGTGTGTGTGTGTGTGTATGTATGTGGGTGGGGTGTGCGTGCGTGTGTGTGTGTGGGTGTGTGTGTGTGTGTGTGTGTGTGTGTGTGTGTGTGTGTGTGTGTGTTTGGTAGAGTTTAGGACGAGACCCAGCTGAGTGTCTAAATCTTCTCTTTGGGACGAGGTGCACCGAAGGTGCGGGCGCAGTGTACATGTGCGGCGCCCCCGTGTGAACCGAAGCAGATGGTTGGCAACACGCGGTCTCAGGTGGCCCCAAAGGGCAAATTATTTCAAGACAAAAACTTCCTTGCGTTGAGCAAAATATGCCTTCGTGATACTTGCAGTTGCATCAGCAATTATTTGGAGCCCCTGAAGCAAAGAAATGCGGTTGCCTCTGGAAGTGGGTTTTCTGTGAAGCTGGGGGAGATTCTCATTCATCCAGGTCATCGCCGCTTGTCTGCGACGGATTGCCGCGGAGTCTTTTTGCAATATGGTGAGGCAATCTCATGTCTAGGCAAAGGTGAATTTTCAAAAATCCTCTCGATAAACAGGGATTGATCTCGGTTGCCAGTAGCCAAGAAGACGCACCTTTGCCGTTTCAAGCTCACGCTACCCTTCAAAATAAATGGCGAACAGGTGAGTGGATTAAAAAAGAAGAAAAAAAAAGGAACAAAAGTGCGCATGGATATACGCAATGCCGTAACTTCCGCTAACAACCCAGACTAAACTTAGCGCTTCGCTAACATACAAAGCTTGTGTCTCGGCCAAGACTGGCGCGGGATCGGACCGTTGTGCTTCTGTCATTGATTTTTCTTTGTTTGTTACTTTGACTTTTTCAGGAATTTGTCTATGTGATTTTGTCTATGTGATTAATTTAGTTTGTCCGGTGTGCCCTGTAAGTGTTTATTTCGTCCTATCCCATCACGCCCCACATGTCAGTGACAAATCACTTTGCATTCATGAACCTGGAAGTGAACAATTAAAAGTGGCATGATCAACGTCTTCAATCTGAGAATAAGGCGGCAATTCCACCGTGCAAAAACGGAGCTTTCGTGACACTGACTTCAGTTTAGGCTGTTTTGAGCTTGTTTACACCTTAGCAAATAAAGATCGGCTCCTCAGGGAGAAATATTTGTATTTTTTGGGAATACGTTGATGCAAAATGATTGATTAACAGAATGCGAGTGTTGCTATACACTTGTCTCTGATATCCTTTTCTACCATAAGGTCGACAATAAGCTGAGTGATGAAAATGTTGAGTTGATTTTTCTTTGTTTGATACTTTGACTTTTTCAGGGATTTGTCGATGTGATTCATTTAGTTTGTCCGGTGTGCCCCTGTAAGTGTTTATTTCGTCCTATCCCATCACGCCCCACATGTCAGTGACAAATCACTTTGCATTCATGAACCTGGAAGTGAACAATTAAAAGCAGCAAGATGAACGTCTTCAACCTGAGAATAAGGCGGCAATTCCACCGAGCAAAAAACGGAGCTTTCATGACACTGACTTCAATTTAGGCTGTTTTGAGCTTGTTTACACCTTAGCAAATAAAGATCGGCTCCTCAGGGAGAAATATTTGTATTTTTTGGGAATACGTTGATGCAAAATGATTGATCAACAGAATGCGAGTGTTGCGATCCACTTGTCTCTGATATCCTTTTCTACCGTAAGGTCGACAATAAGCTGAGTGATGAAAATGTTGAATCCCCAGAGCAGGAGATGGAGAGGCACTCCCATTCACAAAGGGCATTGGACACGACCGGATGCCACCAAGTCACCCCGGTGAACCGGCACGCTTTCCAGGTCTTTTCAGTTTTGGAAACAGGCTAGCAAATGAAGCACGACAGAGCGCGGTGAATCGTCATCGGGATTGTCATTGCGACTGACGCAATTAAAGGAAAGTCCAGCGTGACTTTACTCATCTGGCAAAGGTTACAGCAAGTGCTGTAGACGTTCCACCGACCACGAGGAAGCCCTTTCGCTGAAATACAAACTTACCTGATTCATTGATTTTTTTTGTGTGTGTGTGTGTGTGTGTGTGTCAACAGAATGCGAGTGTTGCGATCCACTTGTCTCTGATATCCTTTTCTACCGTAAGGTCGACAATAAGCTGAGTGATGAAAATGTTGAATCCCCAGAGCAGGAGATGGAGAGGCACTCCCATTCACAAAGGGCATTGGACACGACCGGATGCCACCAAGTCACCCCGGTGAACCGGCACGCTTTCCAGGTCTTTTCAGTTTTGGAAACAGGCTAGCAAATGAAGCACGACAGAGCGCGGTGAATCGTCATCGGGATTGTCATTGCGACTGACGCAATTAAAGGAAAGTCCAGCGTGACTTTACTCATCTGGCAAAGGTTACAGCAAGTGCTGTAGACGTTCCACCGACCACGAGGAAGCCCTTATGTTGAAATACAAACTTACCTGATTCATTGATTTTTGTGTGTGTGTGTGTGTTTGTTTACTGGTTCTGACAGGTTGAGGTCACCTTTGCAAAATTTACAAACTTCCAGCAAACTTTCCGAAGCCACTGTGGCGTAAACTTGCAGCGAGTCGTGTGACACTGTCAGAATTTGTAATATGTTTAAATACATCCGGTTCATATTAGCGACTAATTAAAATGGAGAGCCAAGTGGCGTCAAAGTCATTTGGACGCAAGGCCAGGTCAGTATGATAGCTGCCCTCAGTCAACCAAACAAATCTAAGCAAGCTTTGTTTATAATTATAAGAGGAAAAAAATGAACTGGCCTTGAAAGGCAAAATACAGCAAAAAGGCAAATGTAATTCATTCAAGAGAATGATGGCAACATTCATCAGGCACCGTTTTCATTACTTTTCACCGTTGACGGTCACAGTTTCGAGGGTGTAAACATGTTTTCAAACAAAAATAAAAGAAAAAAAGATTGTGCAGACGACTGCATTAAGACTGCCGGCTGATAGCTTGACGTACGTCTTCAAGATGTCTACATCAGCTAATGGCCCGAATTTAATGGCTCATAATCCAAAACATAATAAAGCTCACTGACATTTTGTGCTCCCTGACAGTATTTGTCATTTTATTGTTTTGTTTTGGGGTTTTTTTTTTTTTTGAATGACTAAAGGCTAAGAACTAATTGCATGAATTGCATTTTTCGTAAGCGATGTATTACAGTCCTTTCACATTTGGCCTGTTATGTCAATATTTTTTATTTTATATATTCTATTAAGACCTCAAGTGTGCAACTCTTCGTTGTGATTACTGGACATGCAATTTAGGGTCAAACTGAATTAATCATTTACTACCTAAGTGGGTAAGATAGATCTCACAGGCATGTTTAATAAATCGCTTATACAGCTTTTCAATTTCAATTTTTTTTTTTTTTTTTTTTTACAACTTTGTGCTGGAGAATATATGAGGGGAAAAAACACTCGAGCATTAAGAGCCATAAAGCTGCGAAAAAAACACACCCAATGGCAATAAACTTTCGAGCATTATAGCTTGTCAATACTGATTTCATAACTACAAATTGAATGCACACTTTAAAAGCTTCCAGATGCCGACAATTCATGATCCGTTGACATCTGTTGCTCACGTCGAGCTGCTACGATGAAGGCGGAATTGATCAGCTCTTACCTCGACAGTGGACGCCTTCGTCGTCGCCGTCCTCGCAGTCTCTTACGCCGTTGCAGAGTTTGTTGAAATGAATACATTTTTTGGTCCCGATACACTGTATGTGATTGAGCGGACATCTGATCACAACCTCTCTCGCACCTGGACAAGAAAAAAAAAAAGAGCAATCGTTGTTATACTTCCGCTTAGCGCAAAGTGGAAAAATCCATCCATTATCTCAAAGGCGGGAACCTACGACATCATTGGCTACTCAGCAGTCAGTCGCAGGAAGAAATGCTATTTTTTTTAAAAATTAAAGGCAATAAACTTTAATCCAATTTGAAGTTAGGTAGTTCAACTCAAAATTTGAAGTTCTGCTCTTCCCGCATTTTGCACCAAAGAAATAAGAGTCGACAAAACCGTTGTCGATTGCATTGTCCACCAACACAACGAAATCAACTCAACTTTATTTAAATCGCACTTTCACAACAGCTGCACCAAAGCGCTTGACGGAGCACAGGACACAAAACATGAACAATAATGCAAACATAACATACCAATAAAATATTTTTCCTCCATTCCTCTCAGTAAAAACAATTTAGCAAATTGCGTTTGGAGCAAAACATTGTTTCGCGATTCGAACTTTTTGTCATGAGGTGCGTGGTAGAGGACCAAAAAAGCACTCAGTCAGGAAAATTGGACAAAATCTAATAACAAAAACACTTCCAGGGACACAGTGGTCAAACTAAATCAATAACACAATAACCCAAAAACTCAAAGTAACCAACAAACAAAAACCCATGAAAAAAAGCACAACAATCCGACCCTGAGTGCTCCTCCACTGCCACCTGTTGGTCGCAAACGGAACGGAACCGTCATAGTAAACGACGAAAGAAAACGAAATCTAATCTAAACAAAAACACAATCGTGACACTTTTTTTTTTCCGCCCTCTGAAGCGACTTAGTGTGTGTGCGCGGAACAATCGGCAGGTGTGCGAGTTCGCTGACTTGAATTTGTTTTGCGCTTGTGCTGGCCGCCAGCCTACTGAGGAAAACTGCAATCGTAGATGAATATGCGATTGATGCCATTGCGATTAGCATTTCTTTCCAAAGCAGGAAAACACATTTTCCTCTTTTAAGATCCCCTCCAAAGGATAAAAAGAAAAAAAAAAAAGAAAGAAAATGATTTCCACGAGCCAAAGTAACCTGAAGCGTATGCAACTACATTTCTACTTCACAGCATTGCACATTGCACAGGACAGATGTTTCCAGCAACAAATGAAGTCCCTTTGAAAAAAAATAAAAATAAACACATTTAACTCACCGCCGCCAGTCAGGCGCAAAGCAGAGAGCAGATGTTGAAGGACCAATGAGGCACACGGGTGACCCTCGCTCACGCGGGAGCAAATAAAACCCAGCTGACCATTGGATGACATCTCAAGCTTAACTACACTAACATCGCCTTTACCAACGCACCACTGCGTCGGCTTTACGGGGAGATTGATCACTCGTGGGTTGGGATCCGAAACAAGTTACGCGTCACGTTCCAGCACACCCGGACCTCTCTTGTCGGGCTGATTACTTATTCAAAGCGTCCGTTTCTACTTTGGGGCTGGCAAAACGTTTCAATTAATGTGCCCGTTCCAGTGAGGGGCTGTCACGGCGTGCTGATTTGCGCAAAGCAAGTACGCCGGTGTGTTTTCCGTAATGACGCAATAAAGACTCTGGCTGGTTTCTCCTCCCACGCATTCCCATGGAAATGTGTAGGGGACCTTGGGCTTTAATGAATATTGCTTCGTCGTCTCTTGAGTACCTCCGTTTTACACGGTATTTAGCTAAGTCAAAAGGAAGTGCCCTTGTCTTTCAGGGTGAGAAAGTGTTTGGAAGACTAATGAACGCTTTTTGCTTTTTTTTGTGGCCAGGCACACGAGCGCTCAGTGTAAAAAACGGAGTATCTTCATCCCAAGTCTAGTTTGCCATATTTGGGAATTTGGCGGACTGTGCCACACCTCGCCGGGGCTTCTGGCAAACCAACTGTGTTTTTTTTTAATCACACGCCCCCCACGCATCTGACATTTTGGTGACAGAAAGTAGACACGGTTTTAGACGAGGTGAAAGCAGGTCTAAGTTGGGGCGTAGGTGGTATGATGCGATTTTATTGGGTATGATTCGGGCTCAGGCAGACAAATTCTTAGCTCTGCTGACATGTGTGATGGATGTCATCGTATTTCATTCATAAACATGACATATGAGCGTGCATCTATACCACCCACCCGGTCTCTGGGTGCCCACTTGAAAGCGGGCAACTTTACATCATGCGTAACTGGAGATCTTCTTGCAGTTTCTTACGAACGTACCGCGAACGATCTCCTGCATGGAGTCAGTGAGCTTTATTCTTTCGGCGCGTCGACCTCGTCCTTCACTTGCGTTGAATTTAAAGGGAATGAGACAAGCCGCTTCGAGTCGGCGGTGTTCACTCCCTCAACGGCACAAATGCCCGCTTGGTATGTTTTGCCCAGCTGCCAAGCACAGGTGCAGCCCAACAAATTAGAATGCCGCATCAGTGAAAAGTGGCTTCATTTCGGATATTCAGCTCTATATCATTCAAATTATAACCCAAAGCTTTTCAGAAAGCGAGTTCTGACCTAATTTCAATGAGTATCATCGATTTGCAGGGTACAGCTGCACTTGGATGCAGGACACATAAGTGGACGTTGCCCCGACAAAGGGGATTTCCCTCATGAGCTGTCCCGGAACGCTCAACACATTCACGTCCATTTGGCAAATGTGCTCTTTAACGCGCAGCTGTAAAAGTCCCTGACAAGCTAAGCGCGTTGTCAAGCTCTCTCGTCGCCCCTCGCCACATGGGTTCTAATCTAATGTGATAAGGGGAGGACGGCAAATGAATATTCAGTGGCTCGGATCTGTCACGCAAAGGTTCACAGATGGTCTCCCAACGTTTGCTCGGAGTTGCTCTCCGCCGCTTGCAAGCGACTCAACTTGGATGAAAAGCCGGACGAGCAGGAGAGGCAAATTCTTCACTTTTTGTCAAAAATCAAACTGTTTCATTATGCACAGTGCTACTTGGATTAGCATCTTTCTTATGGCGACCTTTTTCCTACATGTTTGAGCTGTGAAAATATATCACATAAAAAAAAACACACATACACACATCCCAAATTGTCACCACAACGGGCCGCCAGCTAGCTCACAAGCTAACAGGCTTGCTCCAAGATTGATTGGATTAGCTTAGGTACAGTTTGTCCCCAACTGATGTAAAAAAAAAAAAAAAAAAAAAAAAAGGACCATCCTGCCATTGACAAAACGATGCACTCTTAAAACCTGTATGTCGGTCTTGGCTGTGTTTAGTCCGTATTCCTGCCAAAGAGAGAATTTCTAAATCCAGAGACGAGCCGTATGAACGCTGGGAGAAATCATCTGGATGCGATGCATTTGTTCCCCGATGGGAGCCACTTTTTGTTGTTGCTGGGTTTTTTTTTTTTTTTTTTTTTGGGTGTCTGATCAAGTTGAAGATTACTGAAGCGGACACTCATTGGTAATTACGTTTCCAAACATTGCAAGCTAATTTGGGCGACTCCTTCCGATAAAGTTCAGCAAGGTGATGGCAATTAGAGAGCGTCGGCGCACATGAATCTCGGACGGGTCCGTCAGGCAGAATAAACATAATTAGCCGTGCGTGGGTCTCATCAGTATGCAAAGAGCTTTAAAATAACTCTGTGACAGACTCAATATTTAAATATTTCTCGGAGTCCGTGGACACGCTTGTATGGATCGAGTCGTGTTTAAAATTGAACAAGCGCTTTCATTTCATCTGAATAGAAAGTGTGAGAAAAAAAAATAAAAATTACAGGTAAAATGTGCTCTTGATTAATTCAGCAGATGCAAAACGGGCAAAGACTGCAACAGTGTTTTAATCATCACCTTCACTAAGACGCGAGACAATCCCCTGGCAAATAAAAACAGGAAATATGTGCCTTTGCGAGCTTGAGCGAGAAACATTTAAGTTCGACGTCAATATTTATGAAAGTCTTTATGAACACAGTGATCAATTGGAGGAAAACGGGCCCGCCTCGTCGAAACGAGAGCGCCGCATACATTCCCGGCTGGCGCCGCGGCACGGAAAGCCGCGGGGTGTTCGAAACGTACTGCAAACAGGCATCACCTGGGTAATAAAAATTTGGTTCTCTGGAGAAAAAAAAAAAAAAACAACAAAAAACACTTTGTCAGGAAGTAGAGGGGCGCGATAATGCGATGCGATGCTGAATGGGAGCTCCTGATGAAGATCCGTCCAGAACAATGCAATGAGTGGCAGAGTACAATGACAGCGCTTCAAAGTGAGTCGACACCCACTCGGTCACATCTTTGTTATTCTTGCACAAATCCAAGACGCAATGGAACGGGTGAAGCGTCTTCACCACTGTGAAAAGCGCAACCGCTGTGCTCACCGACAGCAGCTTTTTATGAAAAATCTCAGAAAGGACCTCAAAAAGTCATATACCGAGACGAAAGTCTGGTTTAATTCCTGGATTTCCAAAGTCATCGAATTGTCCACCGATGATTCAATTCACGATGGCACCGATACGTTGCTCGTCAAGAAGACAAGGAAGGATTTTGCTGCTATAAAACAAACATTAGCGCCGATTGTAAATTTCTTACTTCCGCGTTGACCTTTTTTGGACACTTAACATGTTTTGTGTTTGTTTTTTTTTAGCTGGAAAAAGAAAAAAAAACCACTCACATTCTAATGTCGATATGAATCCAGTATCGAATAGTTGAATACGGTCATTGGAGTACAAGAGACAGGACAAGCACTTTGACAAAAACGAGGTACAGTTTTATGAAAACTTACATACCATCATCATCCCATCGGAGAGAGAGATAGAGAGACAGAGAAAGGAACAGTGTGCTTTCTTCTGCTCGCACTAAAATGTGTGTTTATAATCACTTTAGAATTGATTTGCTAATGACCGAAGCACAGGTTGTTCAAACAATATCAAGCGTCACGACGGGATTTAGCACATGCTAATTCTTGGTGGGACTACTGGGTTAGCGTCAGTGCTAACTTGGGTTAGCGTCAGTGCTAACTTAGTGCTAACTCGATCACTCGCGGTGTGGAAAAATTCATGGTGGGCCCTCAAACG